TATTTACCATTGAATGAGATTTCCTTCTAGTTATATTGAAGTTACTACCAAAAAAAAAACATAACACTAACCTCCCAAAATCTCTATTTCCATTCCCTGCAACCAAAAAGTACTAGGTTTGTCGGATTCCTGCAAAGACTGTAAGTTTAGTTTCCCAAAGTACACATATTAACGACATATACTAATGGAAATAAGAAACATATACTAATTACATGTTCCTGGCACACATTGACTATTGTAAAATTTATTCTGCTTGAACACAAGGTCTGGTCCAATGACTGAAGATAGCTTTCTTGATGATAATCAGATATAAAAGATTACCTTGTCAGAAGCAGTATAGATGTATGGAAGACGAACAGATGACGTCTGCTGCATAGCCCTCTCCAATTGTCTTCAAGTAAATCCTGATAAAAATATAACAAATGTCTGAGTGAGAAATGGCGATACAAGGGACTTGTTTCACCCATCAATGATCTTTCTGTTTTTTTCTTTTTTGGCTGGTAAGAGACCATAGTTTGCCATTACGCGCTTTAAATAGTATCATAGTGCTATTAATCACCAACAAGTAGGAGACAGGTGTCAACACTCACTTGAAATTCTGGCAACTTTGGAGCACTCTCTTTGGAACGACAAGGTAGGAGCCTTGAGAATCTGCAAGATTGTTAACAATAAGGCAAAGCAGAAAACGATCAATATTCTTATAGGTAACATATTTAGGTACCAACTTTTCTGTTCAATGGTCTCGCTTTAAACCTATGTGCTGCAGCCATATCATTTTCTTGTTCTATAATATCTTTGGCCTGAAATATGGATATGCAATTAGCCCAGCAGCCATTGGAGAAAACTAGTTTATATCTATTGTTAGAATAACAATCGCAAACCTTGTCCTTTGGGCCCTATGTGCGGTTTCAAGGTCAGGCTCTCTTGGAACAGTGAGTTTCAGCTTCGCCAGCACAGAGTTTTTATCAAAAGTTCCATCCTGCAAAGCCACCCAGAAATGATGGTAAATTTTACAGCTTGTAGTATCCCTTGGAAGATTTTCACATGACTAGAGTGAATTGGAACATAAACGAGTATGACTCGTTTGGTTAATGAGGATCCATTTGACCCAGGTTGTAACTCGGATTTGGGAAAAGTGGATAGTTTGTTGGATTGGGCCCATCTCCATCTAAATGTGGCCATGTTTGTGGGTTTTCATTAGAATTGGTGTGGGCTGTTGGAGTTGGGTCGTTCAGACTTGGTTTGGCAGTGTTTGGGTTTGGTGCAATTAGGTTTTTATTCTGGTTGGGATCCATTTGTGTTCGAGAAAACGAAAACTAAATTGGTTTGGGTATTTTGCAAGAAGAAAAAGAAGATAGCGGAAGCTGATTTAGAGAGGTTGCTTTGATATCATGTCAGAAGCGAGAAAGGCAAGGAGGAAAACAAAGAGTACAAGACTACCTAAGTATGCTAGAGAAAGAGTAAAAGTGTTTATATTTTTGTTGTATATTGAATGTTTGTACAACCTTAATTTATGCAAAAAATAACGTTCAAGAAAGGAAATACAATTATGTAATTACATGTAATCAGGGAACTTGATTGATGCATGAATTTTAGAGAGCAATTTCAGGGATTAGCCATAATTGTAGACTTGTAGTGATTGACGTGGTTAGGCATAATCTCAACATTTCCTTTGCATTTCATATTCTATCAAAATTGATATAGTTCTTAATGATGTATGACCTAATAGAACTTTCTAACTTTTAAATAAAATCACGAACTTATTTATTATCTTATTTTATTTTCATTTGAAAACATCAATGGAAAGTTGATTGAAGTTAAATTTTAATAACCTTTAACAAATCATATAACGCATGTCAATTAGATAGATCGTTGTGTATTATTCGTTTTTTGTACTTTGTGTCAAAGAGTGTTTGGTGTGAAATCCAATGTTTTAAAAACCAAACCACTCCTTGACCTAGTCAAGGGGTCGGTTCCTGGGTTGACCTGTTCAACCGGTTGGATTGATCGATCTAATCGGTGTATAACCGACAAATCTCTAAACAAGTACCACCAGTCTTTATAAGTTTGAAAACCAACAAACATGCTCTTAAAATTTATAAATAAGTCCCTATAAGTTTGAAATAAAGCAAATGCACCCCTGCAACTTCTATTATTAATTATTTTTTCTCTCTCTTTGTCACTTTCTTCTTTCTTGTTTTTTCTCTCTCCCCATCACTTTCTTCTTTCTTCTATCCCTTTCCCCTCTCTTTACTATAACTTTTTTCTCTCCTTTTCTCTTTCTTCTTCCTTCCTCTTTGTCTTTGTTGGAGTTGTTGACTATTTCAGCAATAATGGGTTACACAAATGCATTCAGGGGTTTGTAGGTGGTTTGGGCCTTTTCCATTTATAACAGCTGTAGAATTTCTTTAAGTGATTAATTCCTTATTGGGTTTGGGCTTAGGAATATGAATTTTTGTAAAACTAGGTTTAGTTTTTTAAACCTGGTATATAAACATACTTTTCTTTTATTATGTGTGATAACAAACTTCATTGTAAAACGAGAGAGGTGAGACAATATTAAAATAATATTGACTCTACTGGATGTAGCCTATATTGGGTGAACCAGGATAAATCGCACGTATTACTTTCTCTTTTTATTGTTTGTGTTTGTTTGTTTATTGTTATTTTGTTTTCGTATTACTCTCTATTTCGTTCAGTCTCCTCTTTTCTTTCTTCTAATCTTTTTCCTTCCTCTTTGTCTTGTCTCCTCTTCTCTTTCGTCTTCCTTCCCCTCCCCTTTACTTCACTTGATGGCCAAGAAGGCCTTGACCGCCGCAATTTGGCCAAACGAGGTCCAAATCGGACCGGCCACTTCTTCCTTCCCCTCCTCTTACTTCTTCTTCTTCACTTTAACAAAGAATGAACTCTAAATTAGAGAGCCAAAAACCATGCTCCAGTGATTAGGGATTAGGATTAGAATTAGATTTTACTATTGGGGAATAGTTAACTCGGTTTTGCCCCAAAACCGATTGGACCGGCGGGTTGCTACAGTAACACTGGTCCAACCGTCGGTCATACCGAGTGAATTCATATTGTCAGTTTTTCACCTTGACTGGCCCAGCTTAGTAACTGATTCTTGGTTGAACCAGTTAAATCGGTCAGGCCGGGTTGGGTTTTAAAACACTGGTGCAATCACATTACTTATTAATATTATTTGAATTGATTTTAGTTATACAAAAAATTTTAGTTGATTAGCTCAAATAGTTTTTATTAGATCTCTAACAATCACTCGCAAATTTTGTCGGTTTTTTTTTTTTTTTTTTTTTATATTTGGTTTAAAGTTTTGATATTTTTTTTTGACAGATTTTTTTCTTTAGTTTATTTTTTAATTTTGTTTACAAAAGATTTTATGTCGCAATTGTTGGGATTTTGTACATCCTATACAAATGCAGCGAATTTTCTTAATTCCGAGTTTAAAAATTGAAACCATGAGAGGCTTAGGAATTACCAATTGCACTTTCTTCAAATGATCTTCTTGCGTGTATCTCTATATTCCTAAAGAGGACGTGTGGGCGTCGCTCTAGGTCTAGAATCCCGAATCCACCTGTTATTCACAGTGACTCTCAATATGTTGACTTTTGGGAGATACACTAATCAATATTCCCTAGGTTTTAGTGCACTTTCATAGGCATTCTAAACCCAAGGTCAAATGAAGTGTTTTCCACCATGGTTCAAATCTTATGTTCTAGTGGTAGATATGGAACTGACCAAAGCTTGTGGTCAAAGGGTTTAAAGCCCTATAGCCACAACTTTTTTTATTTTATTTTAAAATAAAACTCTCCAGAAAATTATACGAAGCCACACAAGTTACCGATACGGACATTTTAATTAAAGCTCAATGATTGGGCTCATAACCAATTTAACTCTTAAATGCAATGGGCCAAATTTGGTAATGTGCTATTCCATTTAAACTCTTTAATTAAATACTCTGTTAAGAAAACTTTAATAAATTTAATCTAATTAATTTTAAATTAAAACTCTATCCATATGGCAATTAACAAATTACATGTGTATCCTCATGGAGTATCAACAATTGGATATACGATAAAATTACCATTTTATTGCTCCAATTACTTCTTAACATGTTAAGATAATTTTTCATCTAATAAATAATTAGGACTGTCACAGTTTATATAAATATAAACATAGTCTCAATTTGATGTATTTAATCATCAAATAAATGGCCAAGATTATTATCCAAACCGTTGAAAAATCTTCAAGGTGATATTCTTATCTCACTTAAAAGTTATGAATTTCAAATTTATGAACTAGGATTCTCAATGCTTATAAATACATTCTCTCAACTAGCTAGGGTATTGATCATATACATGTGGTCTCACCTTTTATTTTAATCGAAAAAAATATACTATAAAAAGAAGCTACTCTATCTACTTAGGTCTTAGAATTTAGATAGACACGTCCTTAATTGTTAGAGTGTGAATTTTATGCCTAGTTACAATAGTTATACTAAACATTGATTTCACATGGTCCAGTCAACGTATTTTAAATGCACAAATGTCTATGCCCAAATTCTCAACTTTAATGACTTGAGACTCGTCATTGCCCATTGAGGCAAACAACACAACAACTTTACCCTAAAAAAGTGTGGAACTTTATTTTAAGGTCACGAACAAGTTTCAAACTCATATAAAGAACTTAATACATTGAACGATTTATAATGAGTAATTCCTTTTTATCCATTATTCCAATGTTTTTTCGTCGAAAAACATCTACCATCTAAGGCATATTCCTAATCTCAGGGTTATTCCTGATACCCTTGCGAGTTTACATGTATCGGAGTACCTTAAAGGGTTTAGAGTAATAATCCATTAGATTATATTCGTCAATTTGAGGCTCATGAGCAGTTTGTCTAATCATAAAATAAAGGTACTCATAAGCTCTGAACATGCCAATCACTTACAAATTAATTACCAATAAAGAATATTGATCTTCTCCTTAAAACAATACTCGCAATTAAATTATACAAACAGCAACTGCAACAATGAAAAGAACAAATCCTCAAAATACTATATATCATTAACGAAAAAACATAATTAAACCATCAAGATTCCAACAAAAGCAGCCACAACAGCCATGAATCCATAGAAAAGTGACGCAGTCCTTGCAGTTGCGGCGGATGGTGGAGGAGTAGTTGAAGGAGAAGGAGCAGAAACTGGAGGTAAAGTTTCACCTTCAGCCAGCACTGTTATTGCTAGCTTCTGATTTCCAGCTTCGCAATGCTGCCCAACTCCACAAATGTACCATTTCTTTCCAGGTGAACTTAATATAATTTCATCACTTCCTGAACTCAAAGTTGAAGCACTAGCTGACTTCACACACTGTTGGAAGGAAGTTGCATCAGTTATTCTCATCACATTGTGTGCTCCTTGTGGGTAATTGAAAACTGCACCAACCCAACAAAATCAATTAAATCATAATCAATCAGCCATATTCATAAAATAATCCTGTTAATTAAATAATTTATAAAGTAACTTACTAAGTTTGTCACCAACGCGAAACTCCTTCCCCTCAGCCCACTTTTGGTAATCGAATTTCATGGTCCAACCTGTGGCATCCCCAACCACGTAATCTGTAGCCAAAATGGAGGGAAGAGAAATGGCTAAAATGACAAGAATGATGAACAAGTTAGAATTAGCCATTTCAAAGAATAGAAGCTTTGGGTGTTGACTCTTGAGAATTAGAAGTAGAGTGCTTGTGACAAAAAGTTGAAATGTTAGCTGCTTATTTATAGGGTTAAGGTATGTGCATTGATCCGGCTTGGGTCGGCATTGCCAAATGCCTAGATAGATGAAGGTAATTAGTTTATTTGTTGTTTTGGACGTGTCCGTATGGGGGTATTTTGTATGAAAGGTTCAAAGCGTAGAATGCTAAAATGTCTGCGTTAAATTAAAGTGATGCCTTCCACGTGTAGATATAACGTAATTTTGCCAACTTACTGAAAAACAGATGAAGTAATTAATTTCTAAGCTACAACAATGACAACAATATGATCCATCTTCTAAAAAGTAGCATGACTGTTTCAGTTGTTGGCTAGGCTTGGCTTGGATTACAAATTATAAGATGGGTTATGCTACAGCCATCAATGGTAGTACACCGATTTGTCATCGAATGACGTGACAAAATCCTGACTATTGATTAATATTAAGTTAAAATTAATCAACGATCAGGATTTTGTCACGTCATTCGGTGCACTATCGTCGGTGGCTGTATTATTTTTCTTATAAGATTTTAAGGCTGTATCATAATACAAAATGGATTATATTATCTTTGTTTTTAATTTAAGGGAATTAACCACAATTATATTAATATCAACTGAAACTTCATATTACACATTCACTTAATTAAGTTATCAAGTAACTTAATTCTATTTAATTCAAAAATGCAAGTGGAGTGGGGTCCACTTATTTATAACACTCCCTTTTGGACCTCTACCAATTACTGAGTATTATATATTTAACCTTACTCAAGAAAAATCCCGCTGGGACAAAAACCTAAATAAAGAAATACAACTCTATAATAAAACTGTAAAGTGAAGTTTGACGTGTTTCATATATTGCTTCATCAAAAACCTTATCAGGAAAACCCAGTGGGTCAAAAGCTAGTCAAAGAAAAACAAATAAAGTGCACATGTGTCCAATATAATAAACATTTCTAAAAACTCCCTCTATCGATGCTCTTCTTGATCAATGTTCCCCCTCATAATGGTAAAACTAATTTAGTAATTTATTAAGCCGTTGCATACCAATGTCATATACTAACTTTTCAAATGCTGATGTTGGTAAAGTCTTAGTGAATAAATCTGCAAGATTGTCACTAGAGCATATTTGTTTGACATCAATCTCTCGATTTTTGCTGGAGTTCGTGAGTGTAAAAAAGTAAAAAACTTCAATGAAATATACTTAGTTTTGTGTCTTTTGATATATCTCTTTCTGACTTGAGCAATATATGTTGCATTGTCTTTATTTATAATTGTGGAAGCATCTAAGGTGCGTGGCAACTTGCATGTATTTTCAATATGATGGATGACAAATCTTAATCGTACGCATTCTCGGTTGGCCTTGTGAAGTACAAGAATCTCACAGTGATTGGAAGAAGTGGCAATCAATGTTTGTTTTGTAGAGTGTCATGATACTGAAGTGCCATTGAAAGTAAAAACATATCCTGTCTGTGAGTGGGCTTTTCGAGGATCATAAAGGTACCCAACATCCGTATAGCCAACTAACTTGGGATCATTAACAGATTTCTTCAGACAAAATAATCTTAGGTCTTTTTTTCCACTGAGGTCTTTTATTCCATTAATGTAATGAAAGACATGTTTGATCCTATGCTAGTGTCGACGAGTTGGTATAGAGCTAAATCTTGCCAACAGATTTACTGCAAAGGTTATATTTGGTCTCGTACATTGTGTCAAATATAATAATGCACCTATTGCATTTAGATACGGTACTTCAAGAACAGGTATCTTTTCATCGTTTTCTTTAGGATGAAACGGGTCCTTCTTAGGATCAAGAGACCGAACCACCAATGGGGTACTCAAGGGGTGAGACTTATCCATATTAAATCATTTTAGGATCTTTTCAATATAATTTGATTGATGGATAAGTATTCCATTTGAATAATGCTCAATCTGCAAGCAGAGACACTGTTTCGTTTTCCCCACATCCTTCATTTCAAATTCTTTTTTTAAGTACTCAGTAGCTTTCGTAAGCTATTTAGGACTCCCAATTAAGTTCATGTCATCGACAGATACTACCACAATGGCAAATCATGATTCTAACATTTTTATAAAAACACACGAGCATATAGGATTATTGTTGTATCCTTCCTTAATCAAATATTCATTGAGATGATTATATCACATTCGTCTAGATTGTTTCAACCTATATAACAATATTTTAACTTTTATTGAATACATGTTCCTTTGACTTCCTTTATTTGCTTCAAGCACTTTAAATCCTTCAGGGATTTTCATATAGATACCAGTATCCAATAAACCATTTAAATATGCAGTGACAATGTCCATGAGACACATATCAAGTTATTCTGAGACTGATAAACTAATCAAGTATCAAAATGTGATCGCATCCATCACTGGTGAATACATCTCATCAAAGTCAATTCCGAGTCTCTACAGGAAATCTTAAGCCACTACTCTAACCTTATACCTAACAATCTCATTTTCTCATTTCGTTTCCTTGTGAATACCCATAGGACTACGGGTCCAAATACATTACAATTTGCTAGAAAGGTTAATTCTACTTGCATTGCTTCTTCCCATTTTGACCAATCATGTCTCTTTCAACATTCATCGATAGAATGTGGCTCAAACTCATCATTCATAATTTCAGTAGCTACTGTGAATTATAATATGTTATTGACAATAATTGTNCAGTATCTCTAAAAACTAAAAACATGAAAGTTGTATATCTCTTTCTTAGCGTTCCACAGCATTTTGAATCATCTCAATCGGAGCTCAGATGAGAGAATTATGCCCAGAATACCAAGCAGTGGTGAAACTGTCCGAATTCCCCTAATTAATTCCGTTTTTCAATTAACACCTCCATTTGCTTCCTAAACCAAAATAAAGTAATAATGAGTACAATTAGGAAACAAATATGTATAAAAGACTAAACATTAAGGGGGTTAAATATGACATTTTGCATTCCCATCAAAGGACCACAGATCGGAACCTTCCTTGCCTTGGTCAGAGCCTTTAGCATGCCTTGACACATGCTAGTTGGAGCCTTATGAAGGCACTGAATGGCTTGGGGAGTTCTCCCTACCTCTGCGGTGATTAAAACCAACTCGCTAATGGTGGGTACTTCCCTTGCAGTGATGTTCGAGACCACCATTCCGACAATGGTGGGAATCTCCCTGCTGAGCACTCTTGTAAGGGTGCCCTTACGATGTGGCATGGGATGGCTCTTGATGCAACATACTGCCAAGTCGCAGGGGCACAGGTTTTCTCCCTAGCTTGCGACTAGTATTCGCTGGCCCTTTAAAGCCTTTCAACCCATGCTTAGCCACTTGTTTTCCCTTGTCCTTACGTGTAATAGTGCATGTGGCATGAGCTTTTACTCGTTTCAACGCTTTAGCACAACTTATAGGCGTTTTTGGGGGTGGTATTACCTTATTAGAGTTTGGCCGTACGACCTGATCCAAACGATCTAGTCTTTGGCTCATCGTTTGGAGGGTGTTGTTGAACCTTTCTAGATGGTCCATCACAACAGGATCTGGCTAAGAAGCCGAAGGGATGTTACCGCAGCACTTTAGGGAAGCAAAGCTACTTTGGGAGGAGTAGTCTCTTGAGTGAGAGGAACCTCTTTGTTGTTGGTCCTAACACACTTGGTTTCAAGACCATGAGCCATGAGTTTGTAGGTAGAATTGATTGATCAGTTGAAATTACCAGATGAAGAGCTCATGTGAAATCTTGCCCTTCCTCTAGCACCAAACTGTTGATGCATGATTTTGACACTAACGACCTCACACGTACAAAGTGCTAAGCAGGTCTTAGAAATTACATATGATTAATTTGAGATTTAAGTTAAAGTCACAATAGCGTGCAAAGACTTAATAGCAAATGAGACAATGAGAATTTTATAGCGGTTCGGATGCTTAAAGCGATTCCTACATCCACTATTTTCTTTTAGATAAGTGTTCTTAGTTATTAGCCAAGTTACAAGAGGTTGAGAACTGTGAATAGAATTACAATGGCTTGGTATTCAAAGAGAATATTTAGCCAATCTCTTTCCCATTGGTTGTCTTTGCTATTTATTTTTATGAAAATTTGAGATCCTGATTTTGTGAGGGGGGTCCTTTATTTATAGCTGCTCAAGGTAATGATTACAAGTCTGCAAGTGGGTAGGTGTCGTGCAAATCTTTCCTTGCGTTCCATTGGCTAATAACTTGGGAACTATCCCTAAATTATATGGGGCTTGGACAGGTGTGCAGACTTCATTCATTCACAGATAAAACTTGAGTCTGCTGAGTTGGTGACAATCGTATTCTCTTTGTCTTGGGACAATGTGGCAGATTCTAGACAGCACAAAGCCTTCCTGAACTCTGATTGGTGCTCGCTGATGTAAGCTTACGTCAGCCTCGATTTTTTAGGCATAACAAATTTAAATATTTTAATTTAAATATGATAATTATTATTCTTACCTCTCTCAATAATGAAACATAGGGGAATGTGGAGGCTAAGTTCCAAAATAGAGAAACCACTACCTAAATGACAAGGTTCCACTAAAACAAATGTATGGTACATGTGCGCCAAAAAACATGAGGTGATCATCAAGGAAGAAGAATTATATGTTTATGACTTGTCGATATATTATGTCTAGTAATAACTTTGTTAGCTATAAATAATGAAATTTGTTAGAAGCGAGAAAGGCAAGAGAGGCAAAAAGGAAAACGAGTTTGCCTAAGTATGCTAGAGAAAGAGTAAAAGTGTTTATACTTNCAAGCTCAGTGATAAAAAGGGTTTTGCAGCTGTAAGACTAGCCTCAAGTCAAGGCTTGAAGAATAGACTTTGCCAATGGTAATGGAGAGTGATTTCGGCATTGCAAGCATGGCGATGCTGAACCTAAGGAAGCAATACGAATGCCTTAACATAAATGACCATGACAGAACAGCAATGTGGGGTTTGTTCATGACAACAGGACTCACAGTTGAGAAATG